AGTTTTAGCTTATAAAGTTTATGAAGTCGTGATCTTAACATACCGACATCACTTATTTATTTTTATGAATCAGCGACTTCAAATTCACGAATTACGAATTGTCTGTCTGCCAAAGTTTTAAATACAATTGTACTTCTTGACTAAGTTTTCATTTCTTAACCAGTGTAAATGATAACAATATATATTATATTATCAGCATGTTATGATGAACTGTTATTGAACTAAAACCAATTACCTTTAGTATATATAACAATTATAAAAAGAATGTCTATAAAATCATCTTGAAGGTAATTATATGAAAACAGTTTATTAGTTTAAAGTCGATAACCTAGTATATATTTGCTGAAAGACAAAATACTGGCACATTGCATAAAAAGCAAATGGTGTATGTTCGAACAAACTGTTAAACGAATAGAAACCTACTTAAAGTAGCACAATAACATACAGCTCTGAATTTTTTTTTTAATAATATTAGCAAAAGGCATGTGTGTGAAATATAAGGGTAGTATTACTACTAGTATTCTATATTACAACACTTTCAAAACTCGACCCATCGATTATCGAACCAATATAGTTTACTGTTGACCGATTTGATAAAGTTATATTTTATAAGATATTAATAGCGTTTCTCACTTTAAAAAAAATAATATGTACGTTTCATAAAAAGCGTTTTGTAACGAATGATACAGAATAAATTGCTGAATCATTACATCCGTTGAAACGACAATAAGTGTGCACTGAACACAAGAAAAGCCACAAGTACACAAATGTATGATGCATTTCAAACTACACTACAATAAAGTTACAACCAAAACTGATTTTTATGAACTAAATCATGCTATGCTAAAGAGTTTGTCATTTTTATATTGGTGTGAAAACAAGGCATTGTTAATATCTACCTGTCTCTTCGTTGTAAAGTAATTATAAACTAGTGTTTTTATAGCTGACAATGAACAAAATGCATTACAACTTAAGATATATAAACATTTTAAATGTAGAAAACAGGTTGGGCAAATCAAAAATAAATTTGTTTGATATTTTGTGCACACATTTGTGCACTATACGTTCACCTTTTCCATTTCTTGATAACATTTGTTTCCACATACTTTTTTACATTCGCATTTTTTCATTTTTGTCCTAAACAAACAAAGCATTTGAATTAAAAAAGAATCAAAGGGATTTGTTACAGATCGCTGCGTTAAAGTATTACAGAGTTCTAATATGCATACTTTATTATGTGCATTTTCATTGCGAAGCACCTTTAGGTAACGTCTTAAATGAGTAGGAGAGACTGCCTTTACCTTCAACTCATTTTATTCCGATCTGTACCGGCAGCCAATGTGCATTAAATATAACTTACGTTTGATGACGTCAAATGCTAAACATTCTATACGTATCTCATGCTATGTTTAATTCATTTTCTTTTTAGTAAGTATAACTTAGATATTCAACGGTCTATAGTACATAACACAAGTAGAATGTTTTTTGTTGTAAAAGCAGACGAAAACGTAAATTAATATGCAGTTATTAATACTTATGTTTATGAACAACAAGATCATTATTATTTGTCATGTAATATCAAAGAGTATCATTACTTGACATTTCCAACTTTAAGTTTAATCATATCAAATGTTTCCAAAGCCATTTGATATGTTCTAATGTGATGTTGTTATACATAAGTATTTGTCTCATTGAATGTGTTGACCTATCGATTACTTTCGAAATTATGAAACGTTTTTAGTCATATCAAAAAAAGATTAAAGGGTATGTTGTTCCTCTTTTGGTATAAAAAATCTGTTTATAATATAAAAAGTTCAACATATCACGATACTCACCTTATATAGAAAAAAAAGTCATATGAAGTTTGAACATGATTTAAATACAGTGAACGCCATCAGAGTTTATTCCTTATTCAATGCAATTTCAGTCTATATTTTCAATTTCTCTAAAATTTCAATATTCAAGGTGTATTTAAAATTTTGAAAACGATATAAAAACCTTTTAAACATATATCCCATAAAGTGAGACAGTTAGCTTTATCATTTACACTTAATAACAATTACATTGTAACTTCAAATATGTTAAACCGTTTAATATTTTAATTCAGCAAAATTTAATTTAGCTTTTGATATCAAATTGTGAGCTGCTGCTTTTCTCTTCTGAAACTAAAGAAATATTTCTACTAATTCCTGCAACTTTATTGTAATTCTCGTGATTGCATTTTTGTAGAATTCTAAGCTACTTGTATTCTTCAATCTTAAGCAAACACATATTTAATTTATTGTTAGCCATAGGTTGATCGAATTTCCCTGTTGTAGACAATAGTAGTTTTATTTATTTTCACGTCGATAAATAGTATACACTTACAATAACCATCTTCATTTTAATATGTATCAGCAAGTATACGTTGTACAGTTTTATTGCATTCTCTTCACGATCTTTATGTACACAGCTTGATCAATATCACCTACCTACAATAAAAGCAAGTTCATAGAGAGTTTTGAATGTTGTACGATATCTACAAGAAGAACTGACCTAGGTACCACTTAACTAATTGCAATAATCAGAACCGTCTGCCTTTTGATATTTATGTTCATAAGATTGATAGCTAAAGCTGTAAATATACAATAATTCAACATTCCCCTGTTAATATGCGTTATCTCTTATTACCAAGTGAATTCATTGAATGTCATATCTTGTTTTTTTTTTTCGTTTCTTATATCACTAAGATTTCCACTAGCCTTAAGTACGGATACCTATAGAAAGTTATGGATATTTTCAAAAAAGCAATGAAAGGATAGGAAATTAAATGATTGTAAAGAACCCAATTGTTTATAGTTATGCAATTACCATAAATGTCGACCTTAAGACATTTATGTTTGTCAAAAGTGAAGTGGAACTCATTGAAAGAATAATGGATATATATTACAAATAATGGTTTACCCCACATGAACAAGTAATTATACCTTCATATTCATAATTCCGTCATATATTAATCGCCCTAGTACGGAACTGCGTGAGTTATATGAGCAACAACCTCGTTATAGATTCATAATGCAATACATATATATCTACATGAACCGAATATGAAAATGCTTTTTGTCGGTAGATTTTTTATTGAATTGTCACGGAACTGTGTGTTATAGAGAGAAGCTCACATCGGGTAGTCAGCCACAAAGGGTAGTAAGTACCAGCAAATTTATTTGTTTGTTTGATTTTATGCCTTTTCAAAACAGTATTTCAGTTATATAGGCGAGTAGTTTCCTAACCATCGTTCCTGAAGCTATACCAGTACTTGACTTCCTTCCTCCACGCTAGACCACCAAAGTATCTCCCGGGGATCAAACCTACGCAAGAGAGGTAACTGGATTAGAAGAAACCGACGCTAACCCCTCAACCACGGAGGCGGTTATTTTGCTTGTGGTGTTATGTGCAGAATAATTAAAAAGGCTATATATTTAGCAATGTATAAAAAGTCGAGAAAGTATAAAAAAATCTATTTCAAAAAATGAGCCGCGTCTGATCAGGATCCATGCTGTTCGCTTTAAGTTTCTCCACTTGTAATAGAGTTGATAAGCGAACAACATGGATCCTGATCAGACTGCGCAAATGCAAATGGGTGAAGCGTATTAAAGAAGAACTCACATGATTGTTCTTTTTTTTGGTCAACCAGTGACTATGTATTATGTCAGTAACAAGTTAGCCAATTTACCAAAAAAAACTGTAAACACCGGAAAGGTCCATTCTGGTCATTTCCTTGTATGTAACCTTTCCAAACGTGATGAAATGTGTGGCTTCAGCTTATCTTTTCTTGGAATACTATTAATCATACGTACACACACTAGCGTCATCAGAGCCTACCTGTAAATAAATCTAAATGAAAGCGTATTAGAAAGTATTTTCAATGTTAAACGATTGCTTATCTTCTTACAAAATCATAATTGTCATGGAGATATGATAAGAAATAATGTAACAGAACTATTTAGCAGTATTTTCATACGTAAACTGGTATATAGAAACCTTTAAGATGTTGAAATTACAGGATTTCCCAGTCAAATTCAACGATGCCTGAAAAAGTCGGTCAGTATTTAGGTATAGAAGTTTAACCGATAGGTAATAATGCAGGGACCTACTCCGTTACAATCATGAATGCCATCATACTATCATAGCAGTAAGTATTATTTTATAGGTATACGTTATAAACACACCAGAATGTTCTTATATAGTCATTGGGATTGGATTTTTTTATTACATGATTGCTTCATGAGATCTACTGGTTAATTGTTTTGTCACATTAAATTCCACAAATTCTGTACATAAAGTCAATGTGTACTTATAATATAAAAGTTGAATGATACATGAGAAATTCATCATTCATATCTCTACCTGTTTGAGTATTCACACAATTGTTTGAAAATATATTTCAGCTACATGACGTGAGAGCGTTACCAAAACCATTGAAAAGAATACATTCATTCACGTGAAAAAATGTTTGAATATTATTCAGTTGATAAGTTGAAAAAAGGGTATATGAAAAAAAATATGTCCGTTGTATTTTCGATGTTAATCTCTATCAGATGTACTTCTGAAGGGTAGTTAAATTGTCAGGTATAAGAAAAAAGCTTACAAGAAATAACATATATTAAAAAAGGTTTATGCGCTCTGAATAATTGCATCTTAAAAGAAAATGGATACTTTTATTACATGATTGGCACAGCATGAGACGAGAAATAATTGAGGAAGCACCTTATAATTATCACTGCTGGTAAATTACCTAGTTTTATACTCATGTTTGATAATTAGGTAGAGCAATATTAAACCTAAAAGAGAGTTTTGGGTCATTGAATAAATACCATTATATCTAATAGAAACTTCCGGTTTAGACTAATTCTTTAGGATTCTTCATATATTGAAGTAATTATACATAATAAACCATGCAGAGATACCTATTGATAACCACAGATTAAAGATTAAAACATTACAAATGAGAAAGTTATTTAACTCGATATATTTTAAAAAGGGGAAATACACTCGTTCCCCTTTTTAATGCACTATTTTTACATTATTTTCAGCTAAAGTAATGGTATTGTTTTGTGAAAAGTAAAAGACAAACAGCTAAAGTAAACATCCAAATTTTATTTTTTGTTTCTTTTGCAAATGTTTTCGGGGGAACCGTTCCCCCGAAGAACAAAAGCCATGTACAGAATACAACATGTTTTGATAAATATAAAGCAATTTTTCAGTAATAAGAGATACATTATGCTTAAGGGGGAACCATTCCCTCATCGAAATAAAAAGTAAATTTTAAAACTTATCATAATATATTTTCTAAAGGGGAACCGTTCCCCCTTAACAAAATAGATATAACAATTTGATAGAATAAAATGCAATAATTTAGAAATTTAGAGCCATGTTAATGGTAAGAGGGAACCGTTCCCTCCTCAAAATAAAAAATAAATTTCAAAACTGATCTATAACAAATTTTCTAAAGTGGAACCGTTCCCCCTTAACAAAACTGGTACATGTATAACAATTGGATAGAATGAAATGCAGTAATATAGAAATTGAGAGCCATGTTACCGGTAAGAGGGAACCGTTCCCTCATCGAAATAAAAAATAAATTTCAAAACTTATCTATGACACATTTTCTAGAGTGGAACCGTTCCCCCTTAAAATATATATAACAATTTGATAGAATAAAATGCAATAATTTAGAAATTACGAACAAGGTTACAAGTAAGAGGGAACCATTCCCTCATCGAAATAAAAGACAAATTTCAAAACTTAACTACGACACATTTTCTAAAGTGGAACCGTTCCCCCTTAACAAAACAGATTTAAAAATTTGATAGAATAAAATGCAATAATGTTGAATTTTAGAGCCAGGTTACCAGTAAGAGGGAACCGTTCCCTCATAAAAATAAAAAATAAATTTCAAAACTTATCACTTACCAATTTTCTAAAGTGGAACCGTTCCCCCTTAACAAAATAGATAAAACAATTTGATAGAATAAAGTGCAATAATTTAGAAATTTAGAGCAAGGTTACCGGTAGGAGGGAACCGTTCCCTCATCGAAATAAAAAACAAATTTCAAAACTTATCTGAAACACTTTTTCTAAAGTGGAACCGTTCCCCCTTAACAAAACAGATATTACAATTTGATAGAATAAAATGCAATAATTTAGAATTTTAGAGCCATGTAAATGGTAAGAGGGAACCGTTCCCTCATCAAAATAAAAAAATAAATTTCAAAACTTATCTATGATACATTTTCTAAAGTGGAACCATTCCCCCTTAACAAAACAGATATAACAATTTGATAGAATAAAATGCAGCTATATAGAAATTTAGAGCAAGTTTACCGGTAAGAGGGAACCGTTCCCTCATCGAAATAAAAAAACAAATTTCAAAACTTATCTGTAACACTTTTTCTAAAGTGGACCGTTCCCCCTTAACAAAACAGATAAAGCAATTTGATAGAATAAAATGCAATAATTTAGAATTTAGAGCCAGGTTACCAGTAAGAGGGAACCGTTCCCTCATCAAAATAAAAAATAAATTTCAAAACTTATCACTTACCAATTTTCTAAAGTGGAACCGTTCCCCCTTAAAATATATATAACAATTTGATAGAATAAAATGCAATAATTTAGAAATTTAGAGCCAGGTTACCAGTAAGAGGGAACCGTTCCCTCATCAAAATAAAAAATAAATTTCAAAACTTATCACTTAACAATTTTCTAAAGTGGAACCGTTCCCCCTTAACAAAATAGATATAACAATTTGATAGAATAAAATGCAATAATTTAGAGCCAGGTTACCAGTAAGAGGGAACCGTTCCCTCATCGAAATAAAAGACAAATTTCAAAACTTAACTACGACACATTTTCTAGAGTGGAACCGTTCCCCCTTAACAAAATAGATATAACAATTTGATAGAATGAAATGCAATAATTTAGAAATTTAGAGCCAGGTTACCAGTAAGAGGGAACCGTTCCCTCATCAAAATAAAAAATAAATTTCAAAACTTATCACTTAACAATTTTCTAAAGTGGAACTGTTCCCCCTTAACAAAATAGATATAACAATTTGATAGAATAAAATGCAATAATTTAGAAATTTAGAGCCAGGTTACCAGTAAGAGGGAACCATTCCCTCCTCAAAATAAAAAATAAATTTCAAAACTTATCTATAACAAACTTTCTAAAGTGGAACCGTTCCCCTTAACAAAACAGATACATGTATAACAATTTGATAGAATAAAATGCAGTAATATAGAAATTTAGAGCCATGTTACTGGCAAGAGGGAACCGTTCCCTCATGACAACTTAACCAAAATTCAATAATTTGAACTTGACAGTCAATGTGATTTAAAGCTCAAGGTCAAGGTCTGTTCAACCTTTCAGCATGTCTTGTCCAAATGGTTGTTTTGTCTAAGTTTGAAATACTCCATTGATTACTTACAAAGTTACAGCCAACAAGAGGGCCAAAATGACCCTAGATCGCTCACCTGACCCATCAAACCCATATTATATTAAACTCCTGTGACCTAGTATTTCATCTGAGATGACACATGTTCGAACTCATCCGAGCAATTACCTAGACAAGCATCCTGACCAAGTTTCATGACAGGCGAGTCAAACATGTGACCACTAGAGTGTTAACAAGGATTTTCCATATTTGAGCAGTGTGACCTAGTTTTTGACCCCAGGTGACCCATATTCAAATTTGATATAAAAATCATCAAAACAAACTTTCAGTCCAGGATATTTGGATGAAAACAGTAGCCATTAGAGTGTTAACAAGATTTTTCTATTTTTAGCTCCTGTGACCTAGTTTTTCATCTGAGATAACCCATGTTCAAACGCAAGCTCAGGTGAGCTAAAAAGAATAACAAAGTTACAGCCAAATAAGCAAATATCAAGCAAAATTGATAGTTTAAACATTTGACACCGTGACTTGGAAGGTCAAGATATTTTAAGACTCAAGGTCAAGTTCAGTCTGGTCTACTTGAAGGTCTTGTTAAAAGGGTTGTTGTGAAGAAAATTGAATCCATTTTGTAATGAAATAATTGCCAATGTTAAAGTTTTAGGATGACAACAAGAAAGTAAGGCATGACTGTACATAGCAATAGCTCACACTCTTTTATTCTTAAAAAAAATTGAGCTGAAAAATATTAAGAGCACCGCTAGGCCAAATGTGGGCCAAATGGAACTTAAGTTATTCTCCGGAAACTGTTTTCACTTTTAAAGTAATAGTGACCTTGACCTCTGACCTTGTGATCCCAAAATCAATAGTGGTGTTCTACCCAATATGGCCAATCATCCTATAAAGTATGAATACTGTGGGCCAAATGGAACTTAAGTCATGATCCGAAAACTGTTTTCAGTTTTAAAGTAATAATGATCTTGACCTCTGACCTTGTGACCCCAAAATCAATAGGGGTCTTCTACCCAATATGGACAATCATCCTATGAAGTTTTTATATTGTGGGCCAAATGAAACTTAAGTTATGTTCCGGAAACAGTTTTCAGTTCTAAAGTAATAATGACCTTGACCTTTGACCTTGTGACCCCAAAATCAATAGGGATTTTCTACCCAATATAGACAATCATCCTATGAAGTTTGAACACTGTGGGCCAAATGGAACTTAAGCTATGCTCCGGAAACTGTTTTCAGTTTTAAGGCAATAATGACCTTGACCTTGTGACCCCAAAATCAATAGGGGTCTTCTACCCAATATGGACAATCATCCTATGAAGTTTTTATATTGTGGGCCAAATGAAACTTAAGTTATGTTCCGGAAACAGTTTTCAGTTCTAAAGTAATAATGACCTTGACCTTTGACCTTGTGACCCCAAAATCAATAGGGATTTTCTACCCAATATAGACAATCATCCTATGAAGTTTGAACACTGTGGGCCAAATGGAACTTAAGTTATGCTCCGGAAACTGTTTTCAGTTCTTGACCTTTGATCTTGTGACCTCAAAATCAATAGGTGTCTTCTACCTTATAATAATATGGACAATCATCCTTGGGTAACAGTATTTTCTTCGGGATGATATTTTTACTGTTACTAACAAACCCATGTGTTATTTATATACTGATACCCAGTCACACAAGTACCTCTGGGTTCGTACGGAGGAACAGATGCCAGGGGGTATAACATAATATGCCCGAAATTGTTTCGGGCATATTAAAATTCAACACATCATTTCTCCCCAATGAGATTTATCCATCTATAATGTATTAAGTTTCACTAACATGTAGATACCTCCTCTTGGTGGATGGATATATGGACATTCCAACACATTTACTAAGTTGTTATAAAGTTTTGAAAACATAATGATTCCTAGTGTTTTACTGCATTATAATGTTTGTTCATTCAACATGTTGTTAAACATGCACATTTTTGCACTAAAATTGCACCTTTCAACATCTCTCTTTACAGCCATATAGCCATATAGATATTGTTACCAAACAATATTCAACAACCATCTTCAGTATATCAAATGAAAGTTTCAACAAAACTTATGCAAAGTTTAAGCACATGTTCCATTGCTCCTCTATGATGAATAGGGAAAATCTTCTTGACAACAATATCTGAAAATAAACAAAAAAACTATTTTACTTTTTTTATATTTCAAAATTTGATAAATAAAGTACTTCATATGATAATTCTTAAATAAATTTAAATTCTGAATAAGATATGCATTGCCTTCAAAAGACAGACATTTATTTAGAGGCCAAATTATTCAAACAAATTTTCTAACTAAACTTAAGATTAATAATTATTTATATCTACAATTGCATATTAATTATAGTCCATATAAAAATTTTTTATTGCATCATTATTTTTTGTGTAAGTGAGAGGTTAAGGACAGGAATCATTGACAAATTTCTTTATAGGGCCAAGCTATTTTTACTTAACAAAATATATGCTCTCTTTAGAGGTGATATATAAAAGAGTAATTGATCTTAAATTTCCTCAAGACAAGAGGACTGTGATGACTATAGAGTTTCACATGGTTGATGAACAAAACAGGCAAAGAGAATTGTATTTGGTAAAGTACTGTCTAAAGTATCATTTTAGCACATTTTGTAGATATTGTACAAGTACTTACTTAATTTAACTGTGACCAGTATAACTAGTTGTTGAAGGTAACCATTTTTATCCAAGATATGACCTGAAATGTGGTTAATATTTACATTATAACAATTAACAAATGCATATTTAATGTGGTCCAAAGGAATGCTGTAGTAACTGGAACAATACTGTCTCAACCAATATCAGATATTTGATGTATATTCAATTCAAAGAACAGAGTTCAGATAAGCAGACAATGGGGTGTGCTTGGCTTAGATAAGTTGACTTCAAATCACTTGCAACTCACTGCTCTGAGTTTGAATACCACTGATGACTATGTGTACTTTCATGTGAGGAAACTACATAAATCAAACAAGCTTACAGAATGTTGGTTTATCTACTCAGGTACCTGCTCATGCCTGACATAATGCATCACTGCTATGACTTTGACCGAGGGACACAAGTACAGCACGCAAAACATCATCTACTAATGGTGGCTGCATTAACCAATTCATTTTGAAATCCTATCATTCATGCAGAAGTTAAAACCCTAAAATCCCTTAAACACTACAACAACTTTGTACTTGATAAGTCAATTCACTTACATTTTCTTCTTTTGATTTGTTTGTTATCACTTGTCTCCTCCATCACATCTATTTTGCTTGGCTCAGTTTACAGGCTTGGACCCTAAAATTTTAAGCAACTATTTTTTAACTGTTGTACCATTACAAACTAATTCAATTGTGTTATAGTATTTAAATTTTAGGAAAATAATAAGAGTAAATAAATACAGATAAATGCTAAACCTGCTAAATTTCTGAAATAGACTTTGTCTAGCTTTCATTTATAAAACTTCCATTATCAATTTTGTTAGCTAAACAATAAAGCCTGGCTCTTTAAAGGCTGCAGTGGCTACCATTCCGGCTGACCAGCAGGTTGCTATGAAAGTTAATGGTACTGGTTGCTATATAGAAAATAAAATTTTGCTATGGAAGTCACTGGTTCTTATGAAAAGTCTGTAACTGATATGAAAAGAAAAGAAAGCCAACAGTTGCTATGGAAAGATAAAGGTTGCTTTGGAAAATAAGTCACTAGTTGCTATGGATACCACTGGTTACTAAGGATTAAGTTGATGCTGGTAGAAATAATAGGTACATGTTCTTGAGAAATGTATTTCAAGGGTCATTATGGAAATTACTGGTTATTAAGGGAAGTCAATTTCATCATGGAAAGTCATGGTTGCTATGGCAGTCTCCAGTTAGTATGAAATATCACTAGTTGCTATGGAAAGTAAATGGTTGCTATGGGAGTCATTGGTTGCTTTGTAAAGTCATAGATTGCTACTTAGCAGTCACTGAATGTTATGAAAAGTCACTGGTCCCAGTGTCAGCATTTTCCCCCCTACTTTGTTAATCGTGCCTGGTACCAAACAAATTGGGAAAAATGCATAGCATGCACTCAGATTGAGAATTTAACATAATATACACAAAGCATTCATGGGGAATTTT